AAAAAAAAAAAAAAAATGGAAAAAACGGTTGATCGTTAGACCAAAGAAAGAGATTCTTCTCCAGATGATTTTTCTTAAGATCATTTTTTAAACGATGCAATGTAGTTTTAATTTCATTTTGTTACGTCAACGTGAAATATGTAAAATAACTAAAAAACAGCACTGACAAGTTTTGCCTTCGTTTAAATAAAAAAGCCTTTGTTCTTTATTTTTGAAGTTACATACTTATTTTATAATAGTTGCACGAGTCTTTGTAATCTGTTCAAAAAGTTAATGCCTTTTTTTTGTTCTGAAATCATTTCTTCGTTGCACCTAGCAATTTTCATCTGTTGATGAAATACACGAAGGGCCAACATGAACGTGTTTCAGTTAACGAAAAAGCGAAGTCTGCAATGGTTTCGTTGACTTTCTTACGAACGAATTACAAAAATTAGCGCAGCGTTAATGAAAATGATTGTAATTCTAAAAGTAAAAATTCATTTTTATTTTTTATTTAAGCAAAGGCAAAACTTTCCAACCTACTCTTATACAAACAACAAAAAATGGACAATTACAATAACTCTTGTACTCCTGTAAAGAATGATCTTGCATGTAGTCTTTTAAATGATATGATTTTTCTGAATAATCTTTTGATATTATGACGACTAGCAGATATATTTTTGTGACGTAGGTTCCCTAGTTCTGTCATCGAAATGTGTAACAACATTGTTCAAGCATCGATTCAGTTACATCATCGGTGTGCTCAAATGTTCCTGCCAACAGCGGTGAAATTCCATTACATCTTCAATCTTCGTGATTTGTCGAACTGCTTCCAAGGATTACTATTCAGTGGGAACGAGTGTCTACAGTCTTCTATAGATTTAATAAGACTATGGCTCCATGAGACGCATCGCGTTTACGGAGACAAACTGATCGATGAAAAGGACATCGAGAGCTTTTCTAAACTACAGCTGGATATCTTGAAGAAGAACGTGGAGGAAATAGACGAAGGCGCCATTTTGGAGAAACCTAACATCTACTGTCATTTCGCAGGTACAGTATTATCGTATTATAAATTGTTAGAATGTTTTCTAGTCGCATGGCCTAAATTCTTGGGATTCAAGTTCAAGCCATTAAAGTTTCCAAAGATTTCAAAGCTGATTTTACGATGATTCGAAAATTTGTAAAAATTATCTTACAACATCTCGAAACGAAGAATAGCGAATTAAGAATTTCTTCCTAGAATCTCACAAATCTTATTTTTAATAAATCAAGTACGTACGAGAATAACAAAAAAAAAAAAAACGAAATAACAGCAAACACAACGAATCGAATAAAAAGATGCGATAGAAATATGCTTCTCAAAGCTACCTTTGAAATTTTCTGGTAACTTCAATCCTCGCCTCACGTTCTTCAAATAAAACTCGTTGCAACTTGCAACTCGGACGATAAGGAAAAATATCTGAAATTGCAAGGAGGAGTCGGAGAGCCAAAGTACATGGCAGTGAAGGACTGGTCGACGCTGCATCGATTACTATCGGAAGCAATGGTCAGCTACAACGATCTGGTAGCCGCGATGAATCTGGTGCTGTTCGAGGACGCGATGATGCACGTGTGCCGGATAAACAGGATCCTGGAGTCGCCCCGAGGCAGCGCGCTTCTCGTCGGCGTTGGTGGTTCTGGCAAACAAAGCTTATCGCGATTGGCTGCTTTCATAAGCTCGCTGGAGGTGTTCCAAATTCAGTTGAAGAAGGGTTATGGAATCGCCGATCTCAAGTTGGAGCTCGCTGTTCTATATAGCAAATCGGGTCTGAAGAATCTGGGCATCGTGTTCCTGATGACCGACGCCCAAGTGGCGAACGAACAGTTTCTTGTGCTGATCAACGACATGCTCGCTTCTGGCGAGGTTCCAGACCTCTTTGCTGAGGACGAAGTGGAGAACATAATAGCAGGTTGATGAATATTTCAGGTTGCACTGTAACCCGTCGTACACGCTCGTCCATTTCCTTTCGTGTTTGCAACAAGAATCGTTACACACACTCTGACGCAAGAGACCTTGAGACATTATTCATTCAACGAAACTCTGATATTTGATATAGATTATGTGTTTTACATTGTATAGACTTTTTCGGTAAAACTGTTAATACACCATTGTTATTGTGTTACAATTATTTATTATCATTATTATTGTTGCTCTGTTGTAGAAGTTATACAAATGAATTATCACTGGTTTGTTTAGAATGTCTCTTTAATTTTGAAGAAAATATAGTAGTATAGTTTTTGAGAGGGCATAAAATTCATGCGATTTTAAATAATTCGAACGATTATTAAATAATTAAATTGATTGAAAAGCAATATTTAAGTTGATTATCTTTTTCTTTCTCTGTTAGGAACAAACATCGTTCATAGAAAATTCATGTGATTTAAGTCGTTCTTTGTTAAACCATTCAAAACTGATCTTTAATCAAAAGACGATGTTTGACTTGTTCGTTTGACTTTTTTCTTTTTGGAAGCATTGATTGCATTATATTCACGCGATTTGATATGGTATTGATATTTCACTAAGTCATTTGAAATATCATTTGAAATATCGCTTTCTAACTAAATACTAATATCTCGATGACTGTCAGAATCTTCATGTACATTATTAATAACATCTATGTAATCTTAATTTTTTGATTATTTTTCCAATATTGATAATGATGACTAATTTTCAACTGATAACGGTCATCGAAATTTCTTCTTATGACGCATCAAGTGCGTCGACAATTAAATGGGATAAGCACTACATGATATACGATGTGTCATTAGTTTGAAATGAACTGATTCTATCGACAAATATTTATAAAAATAATATCTTTAATTTATTATAGTACAGATTTAATATCTAATGTGTATAAACATTTACAGTCTATTAACATGAAAGCTATGATCAGAAGTACACAATCATAGGTTTGATCAAATATTACATAATTAAAGTAACAATGTAATAAAGTACGTAATAAAGTAACAAAAATGATAAAATATTGAGGATACACGATTAAATCAGATTACATGTTAAAATACAAAAAATTAGAAAAACAATGTACAGTGCTACGGAGATCATAATTTTATGTTTATACATCGAAATATCACGAAATCATCATTCAAATCTCTAAAGACGTACGGTTATAAATTTATAAGATCTGCGAAAAATTACGAACGGGTGATTTTGACCACTTTGGTAGTCTCAGTGCGTTAGAAATCTTTTCAAAGTCTAATATTTACATTATCCTTGTGACACAAAGAACAGGCCGGGATCTCAGTTTATTCTTCCTTCGATGATCCAAAGGCTTGCGGTTGCAGGAGTTCGTAACGAGGTGAAGGGCGCGGGGATGCTGGATACACGCGAGAACTGTTGGAAGTTCTTCATCGACCGGGTCCGCCGCCAGCTCCGGATAGTTCTCTGCTTCTCGCCGGTCGGGTCCACTTTAAGGATACGCTCGAGGAAATTCCCGGCGATAATAAATTGCACGGCGATAAACTGGTTCCACGAATGGCCGCAAGAAGCTTTGATGTCTGTGTCGAAGAGGTTCCTGCAGGAGTTGGACGAACTTCCGGAAAGTTACAGGTAGAGAGCCGCGTGGATATCGATCGGGGCGCCCCGAATCTGC